CTGCCCGCGCGGTGGCCGAGGGCAGACGTGGGGGTTGCAGCAGGTTCTCACAGCTGTCTGCTTCTCTGGGCAGGTTTTCAGAATAGTGAGTACCTGCTTGGGCAGCCCTCCGGAGACCTTCTGCTGGGAGTTCCGGGACAAGGAGAAGAACTACAACAAAATCGGCCCTGTGACGCCAGTGCAATTCTACAATGAGCATGTGAAGCCTTACTTCAACATGGAGGACAAGGTTGGACATGCAGAATGACAGTCCAAGACTTTTTTTACTGTAAAAACCCTCCTGGTTACTCCTTTCTGCTGTTGCAGGTGTGCTGTCTGCATCTGTAACTGCCCCACATGGGGTGGCCACCAGCTGGCCCCATGTTTATTCTCCCCCATTTCATTTGTGCAGTGCCCCTCAATTAGCTGTGTGACCTTGCGTTGCACTCTGAGCTTGTAATGATATGACATGTAGTGGTTGGATAAGTCACAGCCATAAATAAAACCAGCTGTTAGAGAAAAAGACTATCAAGCAGTGCTCCTGTGCCACAACTGAAGGTGAACATAATAAGATGTATTAGGGGGAAAAAACGGGTATTCCAGCCAAGCTTCTCATTTTTTTAATGGGATAGACACCTAGAACAGAAGCATTTGTCCAAAATCGGTCTAGATCAACTTCTCAAAGCTTTCAAATAAGCTGCACCTTAACGAATGACATCTTGATTTTGGCAGATTTGTTTAGTGAACGATCCCCGGCCGCAGAACCCGTACAACAAGCTGTACACGGTGGAGTACCTCGGCAACATGGTGGGCGGGAGGAGAACGCTCTACAACAACCAGCCCGTTGATGTCTTGAAAAAACTGGCTGCAGCCTCGATTAAGGATGGCGAGGTTTGTTTGTTTGATTTCCCTCCACAGATGATGTGCTGACTCCTGTAATATAAAACTTTCTGGGATATAACCAACCCAGATGTGATATTTCTCTTTCTGTTTGTAGGCTGTGTGGTTTGGCTGTGATGTTGCAAAGCAATTCTATGGCAAGCTGGGAATCAATGACATGAATATGTAAGTAGAAGATTAGAACTGCTATCTTTGGGTAATTGAGCAGATATGAAAGTTCTTTGGCTGAAATTTGTATGCGCTCTGATTTACATGCAAATATGAGCTCTTAAATATTTCAGTGGCAACAGACATGCTCTTTGCACTCGTTAGCTAAAATTTTGTTCCTTTAAAGATGCACTGCCAAGTGTCTGTTATGTTCTCTCATCTGAATTGTCTAATCTGGTGGGAGATGCTTCTGAAAGACCAGTCTTCTCTGACACTAGAAGCTGTTGAACTTACCCTGAGTCTGTGCGCCGGCTCCTGGGATACTGCAGTCTGCTGATTCTCTGGTTAGTTTTGAGTATCTTTCCTACATCCTTCCTGACAACATTTACGTGGTTTTCTTGCAGATTTAATCATGAGCTGGTATTTGGAGTCTCCATCAAGAACATGAACAAAGCAGAACGATTAATCTTTGGCGACTCACTGATGACCCATGCTATGGTCCTGACAGCTGTCACTGAGAAGGTAGAGTCCTTCTTCTGAAGTTCTGATATTTGCACAGATGTATTTGAGTGTTTTGGCAGTTTGTTTATATGCTCAGGGGTTATTCACACTGTATGAGCTCGCCATGTTTGCGACAACACCCTAGTGCACAAGGCCTAGGTTGCCTCTTCTCTGTTATGTGTGTGTGAAGCGTTCAGAT